ATGTTGGCAAAGTGGAGCCGCATTGCCTCCTCATTGGGCTTTGGCCTCTTGGCCGGCGATGGATGGAGAGGTGGATCGTAATCTGGACTTTCAGGAGCCGGCATAGTCCGGGCTTTATGTCTTGAGGAGTCCTGAAATGAGAGGCTTGGATGGCCCATAGTTGTATTATGTCACCAGCAATCTGTCGCGTCAGATTGGGAATCACCTTGGGCGTCTGTCCACCGTCTGCTAACCATAGGAGGTCTTGGTACATCAAAATGGTGTAATAGTGACGGTGCCATCGACTTCTGGAGGTGACAGACGAGGGCTCTTTTCTCATCCATGAAGTACTGCCCCAAACCTTCATTGCACCACTCATTGATGAGGTCCTGAAAATGGACTTCATCAAGACAATGGGCTGGAAAGTCGATGTGGATGAGCATTTGGATGTGGTCTTTGAGCAAACCGCCTGGCTGTATCTCAGCATATCTGTAGGCGAAGGCCCGAGACTGTGTGGCCAGCCATAGGGTGTTCACAAAGTGACTTGCGTCCCCTTGCACATTGAGGTCGTGCTGCTGCCACAGGGTTTGGAGTCCAGGAAGTCGTTGTAGGTCAACAGCTTCACATGTTTCGAGACTTTCTTGGACTGCTCCCCGACGTGCTCCCCAAGGTTGGAGATTGTGTTCTTGGAGAAAAGCACAAAGCCAGGTGAAGGCTCTCCAAGGTGCATTGGCAAAACACCTCTGGCTTGGGTTGCCCACTATCATAGTCAGGTTCCGCATCAGAAAGTCCGTAGACGTGGCAAAGTCATATAGGACCTGCTGGTTCATTGTTGTGGCCGTCGTTGACGTCCAGCCAGAACTGGAGGGTTCTGAAGTGCCTCCTATCACAGCCAAGCGTGGCCGACTGCCATGATCTCCCGGCGCCGGGCGCTGGTGGCAAAGTTCAAAATTGTCATTGAAGTCGGTTTGACTCACAAGGTGAGGTGCTGGTTGTTGCTCTTCCTCTGCAACATGTTGCCCTTGGGAAAACAAAGATTGAGGATTGCCCGTGAGTTGCATGTCCCCTGCAACACAGTGGGTGTCAGATCCTGCCTTCAGCTGTGAGCCAGCATGGCATGGATAAACACATCCAAAGCTCTTGCTGAAAGATGTTCATGATCACTGTCATGTCCCCAGTCAAAATCGTCCAGTGGAACTGGTATGTTGAGGCCGGTGCTTGTACATGTGGGTTGAGAGGTGTTACCCACAAGATCCAAGAGGTGCCCCGGCGCTGAGGCCATCTATTTTCCTGCGTTTTGTCAGGTCTTCAGTGCCACTGTTCGGCCGCTTAAGGAGGCCGTGTAGCTGAGACTTCTGTTCAGCCGAAAGGGAGACCCAAGTTGGCTGCGAAAGTCTCCAGTGCGGCTGGAAGTGGATCTACTTCCATGGTGGTTTCAAGCTCTTCTGGCTTGGGATCCTTGTTCACGGCCTGCGTGTAGTCTTCTGAGATCTGCTTCAAAGTCTTCTGGCCTTCGTTGAGCTTTTGTTGAAGCTCCTGCATTTCAGTGAGCAAGGTCTGGTAGTGGGCTTTCGTGTGGCCAAGCTTCTCCTGCAACTGGGTTTTCTTGATGGACAGGTTCTTGAGATCAGAAACCTGACCTTTCAACTTGGTGGCTATGTCCTTCTCAGATGCTGGCTCTGGTGTCGTGAGGCGGGCGACGGCCTCCTGGACCTGAGTTGGGAGTGCTGCCATGTGCGTTTTGAGCATCTCTGGTCTGGCTCAGGCTGTTTGGTGGGGCCAATGCCCAAGTGCTGGAGCTTGTCTTGGAGGTCTGAGGGCATGCCATTCCACACTGCTTCCAGCAAATCTGAAGCCTCTTTCTGGATCTTGGACTTCTTGAGGGGTTTCAACCTTCCCAGTCCGGGTGGTGTTTCGATCCAGGTGGAAGGCCATGCACCCGGTGTCTTGGTCGGGCGGCCTTGCCCTTTGCCACTGCCAGCTCTGAGGGAAGGCCACAAGTGGCCGCATTTGCGGCAGCGGGTGTTAGGCCTGAGCCGGTCCTGCCAAATCCAGTTTGTGCACTGGGCTTGGGTGCATGTTACATAGCTTCTGCACCAAGAAGGTGTCTTGGTGGATGTCATCGTACTGGATGCTGGTGACCTCAAGGGCTTGCTCAAAGGCCTAGAAAGGGGCAAGGAGCGTGTCGTGCTCTGAGATCAGGCCTGAGTTGGTGGCACCAGTGACCTCCAAATCCCCCAGGAGGTAGCCAAGCAAGCACTGCCAGGTGCCGAAGGTCACGACAGGAGTGAGGTTGGTGAAGACGTAAGATCACGAGCAAAGAAAACCCTCACCCTGGGAGAATGCTGTGGTGGCGAGCTCTTGTGGTACTCAATGCACACAAGGGGCGATCCGCACCAGGTGGTCTTTATGCGGGGATGCCACCTTGAACCGCTCACAGCCTGAGCCATGTATGTATGTATGCATGCATGCATGTATGTATGTATTTTTCTCCTAAAGTTGATGCGCTCAGAGCGCCATTTTGGCGGGTTGCTAGGCCTTGTGCCTCACCGGCGGCCCTTGGCTCAGAAGTAGTCCACTCGAGGGGCTGCTCGTCTGCTTCTGCATCTTCGAGGTTGGCCACAGCTGTGACTGGAGAAGTGTCAATCGTCAGTGGTATGCCTGCTTGTGGGCTGGTGTTCATGGCCTGTGCAGGCTGCAACATAGTGCCAAGAGCTTGGTGGGCCTGCATGTTGCCATAGGCTTGTTGATCGTAGATCGTGTCAAAATGGAGCCTCCTGGGAGTGGGTTTTGCTGTGCCATCTGGCCATGACATGAGGTCATCATCCGGGACAGGTATGGTCCACCCCCATGGATGCTCATCAAAAGAACTGTTACCCGCAATGTCCGGGATGTGGCACCGGGGTTGTGTCGGTTTTGCGTCTCTTGATGGCGTCCTCGCTGTCTTGGTTGGGCCGCTTGAGAAGCCCACGTAACTGTGTTTTTTGTTCCTCAGTCAAGGAAATGCCTAAGCTGTGCACGAAAGATTCGACAGCCATGGGGATTTGCTCCGTTTCACCAGCTGGATCTGAAAGTGCAGCTGGAGTGGGTGTTTGGTTCACCGCTTTCATGTAGTCTTCGGAGAGCTTTTGGAGTGATTTTTGTCCCTCAGCCAGTTTCCCTTGCAGTTCCTGCATGTCATTGAGCAGCGTGGTGTATTGAGACTTCACTGCATCAATCTTGGCCTGCAATTGTGTCTTTCGCATCGACATGTTCTTTAGGTCAGTCACTTGACCCTTGAGTCTTGCTGCTATTTCGCGTTCCGTAGCTGGTTCAGCCTTGGTCAGCTTGGACACAACTTCTTGGACTTGTTGAGGAAGAGCATCAAGATGGGTTTTGAGCAAGTCCTTCAACTCAGGTTCCTCAGGCTTGACCGGGCCTATGCCGAGTGCCTGGAGTTTGGATTGTGTCTCTTCCGGTAAGGTGGTCCAGCTTGTTGACAAAAGCTCCGTTGCCTCTTGTTGAACCTTGGTGCGTTTCAGAGGCTTGATTCTCGGTAGTCCAGGAGGGGCTTCGAGCCATTGCTGGTTGGCGTTGTTCTTGTTGAGAGTCTTCCATAGCCTCCCTTTCATTCTGGTAGGAGAGCTCTGGCCACCAGGTGCCATTTACGGCATTTCGTCCCACTGCGGAGCTGAACTTTTGTTGCATACCATGTACGCTCGCCCCCATTGTGGTGTCATAGTGCTGGATGTGGTCAGCCACAGGGAACTGCAGGTATCAGGCCTGAGTGGTCCACTTGGTGGTAGTGCTCAGGCCTAGTTGTTCACAGTGAAATAGCCAGGCGAGACACTGCTAGCCACCGGAGAGCTCGGTTTGAGTGATGTCGATGAGGTCGATTATCACGGGCAAAGAGTGTGTTCTAGTTGACCTTGAGGATGGGCCGTGCTCGGTCAGGTACAGCGGAAATATGTTCGCTTGGGGAGTTCCGCACCAACCGGTCTTTGTGGGGTGCCGGTTTGAGCACTTGCGGCCTTGAGCCATGTATATATGTATGTATGTATGTATTTATTTATTTATGTATGGTATGCGGTATGTGTGGTATGTATGGTATGTATGGTATGTATGGATGTATGTATGTATGGTATGGTATGGTATGGTATGGTATGGTATGTATGAGTATGTATGATCATGTATGATCATGTATGATTATGTATGATTATGTATGATTATGTATGCTTATGTATGCTTATGTATGTATGTATGCTTATGTATGCCTATGTATGCTTATGTATGTATGTATGTACGTATGTATGTATGTATATATGTATGATTATGTATAATTATGTATGATTATGTATAATTATGTATGATTATGTATGTATGTATGGTAATATATGGTAATGTATGGTAATGTAATGTAATGTAATGGTATGCATGCATGCAGCTGCATGCATGTATGCATGTAAATTAACATGACCAGGTAAACATGGTACATACTAAACATAGTACCGTAACAACGGTACAAATCTTCAATCCCATCACTGTCACTGTCATCGCCATCCGCTGGTTCCGCTGAGTTCCGCACCGGCGCATCGCCCAGCAGCCGGGTGGCTCGCACAATGGCGGCCATCCTGGGAGAGTCCGTGGAGCCAAGATCCCCACTTGTGAAACGTGGATGATATTGACGATATTGGCAATGATGTTGTAATAATATGGGCTGGTAATATTGTTCAATATCTTTCATTGAAACCAATACAACCCGTTCGCAGTATTGGACCTGAACATGACGATGAAACATCTTTCAATATCTTTCACTTCTGCCTGAAAGTTGGGTTGGCTCACCAACGATCTGAGTGCAGCGACACCTTGGCCACAATCTGTTTGCGATGTTCACTCTTGTACCTGGAGCTGTGACAAAATTCTCTGGCAAATCCGCGAGGATTGAAAGCTTCAAGACAATCCAGTGCATCAGTTAGGGCAAAGGGAATTTTTCTGTATTTGGCAAAATGTCATCACACTGAACTGTACATTTAACCTTTTGGGCGGGAGGTTGGGTGCTCAAGTCAGCTGGGCTAAGCATGATTCGCGGCCGAGAAAAAATAACAGGTCCTGCGCTCCCACGACTTAAATCATCTGAATTCCAAAGTCTTCATTTCTCTCACCAGCCAGCCAGCTACCCCCTTTGAGGTTCTCCTCGTGGATTTGCCAGGTCGTGGGCCACACAAAGCTTCACTGTTGGGGGCATGATTGCCATGATCAATGCGGCCATATTTGTTTACCTGCAAGGGTGCACCATTTCAGAACCCTGCACTCAAGTCTGGCAGCTGCAGCTTTCTGTCGCTTTCTTCGCCATCGCACCTATGCTGTTCCATGCCGTTTGGCATCTTCAACCCCAAGGCGCCATCTGCGAACGAAGCGAGCAGGAGCAACATTTGAACGAGCAGGAGCAGGTTTCTTCATGCTTTTGACTCCTGGGCTGCGGCAACAGCACAGCAATTGCAAACGCAATTATTTATGGCCCTCTCCCCCAAAAAATCTGCTGCAGAAGACGCAGGTGCGATGTGCTGCTTTCAAAGTCTGCAAGGATCGGGACGTCTTTGGGGCCTACGTAACAGCTTGAGAGCATGCAGCTGTACCAAGTTGTGCGCAATGTGGTAAAGGTAAAGGTTAACAACTTTGCGTTTCGGCATGTTTGGGGTAGCCTCCTGTGCTTCAGTTCGAGCATCGAAGGGCCTCTTCCAAGCACTCTGTGGTGCCAATGCTTTCCACATCTGCACCTCTCAAGTGCACAGCCTAGGCGGCTGAAAGGTCGTGGCTGCAAGTCAACAGAACCTCGAAATAAACCTCTTTCCCCAAGTCTAAGCCAGTCCAGGCTCAAAGATATGCCCACGCATGGCCACTCGAACACAAGCTCAAATTTCTTTGAATCATTGAAAACGGATCTGTTTATGCAACGTGGTGTGCGCCTCGAAACTTTACTTGGCCTTGACGACACCAGGCTCCGGGGACTTGCTGGCTTTGGAGGGGCAGGGCTGCTCGGGGAAAACAAACTGCTGGATCACTACCATTTGCCAATCTCGTGGGACAGCATCATCCCACCTTCCCCATCTTCCCCCCCAAAAAAGAATCCTCCTGATCATCCCAAAGGCTGTGGTGGAGGGTTGTGGCAGCGGTGTTCTCCAGGATGCGCCGGGCTCTGCGATCTCCTGGGGTGGCGCCACCGCGCAGGCGGCGAAGAGCTGCGCCACAGCCGTGGTGGAGCACAGCGGCACAGAGGACGGGCGGGTAGAGGCGGCAGACCTGGTGGTGAGTTTCGGGGGTTGTGAAAGGTTTGGTGGAGATTGGAGATGATTGGAGTGGATGGTTAAGGATGTTGAGGTTTGGGGTGGCTTCTTTTGACGTGGCTGCCCTATGCTTAAAATCAGGAATTGGGTGCAACAAGATCACCCTTCCAATTCGCACTCACACCCGGACTGTCAATTCTTTAGGAACCCCCAGGTTCAGTATCCAGAAGTGGCACTAAAAAATCAAGAACATTCTCTAAAGAATCAAAAGCCAGATTGCATCTGCTAAAGAATTGGAGACTTGAAGGAAAAGCTCAAAAGGCCTAAAGAATTGACAGTCCGAGTTCGAGTGGAACAAAGTCGACTCATGCATGTTCTTCTTGATGCTTGCTTATGGATGATCCTGGTATGGTCTCTGCATCTGTGTGTTGAGCCCATGCTAGGATTTGCAAATCTGGCTTTGCAAAGACTCTTTTCTCTATAAAAAATCCACCCCATTCTCGAGCTAACGCTCGACAACCAAAGTCTCTAATAAATCAACCCCCTCTTGGCGTTATAGAGAATGGGAACCCCCAGGTTCCAGTTGTAGACTGGCACTGTATATTTTCATCCGTTTTTGTTTTTTATGACAACCCGGGTTGTCTGATTTTTTAGAGGAAATTCGCACAGGGATGCAACAAGTTAGAAAATAGAAAATAGAAAATAGATGGGGAGTTGGGGGGGTATGGTGAGCACATCTGAATCTTTTCCTTGATATTATACACTTGGGGCTTGGGGCCATGTTTCTGGTTTCTGCTCTGTTATCGCTGTGCAGGATTTGGGGCGAGGCCATAGGCCACCCGCACAAACCACAGGAGAGGCGTTGAAACAACTGCAGGTTGGTGCAAAGACAGAAAGAACGCACTGCTGCAACTTCACAGTGTCAGGTAGGTAATTATGTAAGAACGAATAGAGTGTGACCTTGTGCCCTTCGTGCAAACACGTGTAGCCAATCATGGCCAACTTAACGTGTGGTCAAAGCCCAAGCACAATCAACATGCTCGCATCCATGCCATAGCACGACACAGGACGTGGGGTTGTTTGGCAAACACTCCGCTCCTTGAGAATCACATTTAGCAAAAACACACACTAAAGAAAAGAACGCGTGCTACTGTGCCAAAGCCAAGCGCGGAAGGCGCTGCCCTGAGCCAGGAGTTGAGGTGGATCTCTGTGACCGACTGGGTGGGGGTGTCACTGTAGATTGCAAGACCTTAGCTTGTTCCAATGAACCATCATTAGTTTTCTTTATTTCTGCTTTTGAGTCGCCACCTCGGTTCTCCATCGTTTTACCTATCTATCTATCTACTGTATCTACCTACATTGTAGATAACATAAACTACTACGCTGTACGCATATTACATAATAGATTACGCATTCTAGTCACGTGAAGTGAAGTCAACCATGAAGATACTAACTTTGCATCCCCGAAAGGGGCATATTATGCAGCAAACCAACACACAGGGTACAGTACCACATCACAAATAAGATCTTCTATTCTATAAAGAATATCTACATATAATTTATATAATTACTCGAATATGGTCTGTCCAAATACCAGTAACAGTGGATGATGACAGTTAGTAAAGGCATGTAAAGGCCTTGTTGAACAGAAAGGTAATTGTTTACTGACTGTTACAGGTGATAGGACAAGCCCCCCCCCAACAAAAAGAACACATATATTAAATATATATAAGGCCCCTAAAGGTCGAGTTTGGAATTCTGCCGAGGCTCCTCCAACAAGCCCACCCATGTGCGATGCAGCTCTGTTGAGATGTTGAAAGGATTGCCTTGAAGCTTTGACCGGTCAAAGTCTGTCTCCTCCTGGAGAAGGGCGAAGGTGTTGCTGGCGCCCAAGCAACGTCGAGAACCCTCCACATGAGCGCGATAGGCTTGATTATCCACATTGGTTCCGTCGGACTGGTTCAGCAGCACTGGTATTACAACTGCTTCTCGGTCACACAAACGACGAAACTCTCGCCGGGGATGTGTCCGACACACTTCGCGAATGCTAGCAGATGAGACGTGGGCACGGACTGCGTTGTGAGATGATGGAAGGCAAAAGGATGGCTGCACCCCATGTTTCTTCAGCTTCTCCCAGTCAATGACTGGTGAGCGACACTTGGCAGTCGTGCCAGTCTGCACCATGGCGGTCTGTAAATATCCTGCGAGCTGGTCGAAAGGCTTGTCACACATACACTTGCAATGAGCGTGTCTTGCAAGTTGCAAGCTGTTGCCTTCTCAAACACTGGTGGCTCTTCCTGCCAGTCTTGGAGCCAAACAGCACATCTTCAAAGACTTGTAAAAATCATGATTCGTGATTGACTCGTTCATACTGTTTGAGACCACTGCTCACCCACAAGAGAGGGAGGCAGCCAGCCTTCGAAGGCACGAGTACTGGCCCTCTTAGGCTTAGGGATGGCTTGGGAGCCGACCAAAGAATCCGCAATCGATTGCTGAAATGAACAGTCTGATCGGAATAAGGTGGTACGTTTCAGGACGAGCAAGTCAAGTCCGTCTCAGCAATTTGTTTCATCCTATGTCCCTCCTCGCCTGATGTTGCCTCCGACCGAGTGGTCCCAACTGGCGAGCGATGAATGTCTCTGGCACACCCCTCTGAGGCACGGCTTTGAGCAGCTCTATAGACATCTCCTCACACGCCAAGGCATTGCCGGCGTTAAGCATCTTTAGTGGAACGTGAGGTGGGCATGACGGCTACAATCAAAGCCTATGCAAGTGAGCGAGATCTACTGGACAACCGCACCTCTTCCCCCGATATAGATTGATATACAGTAGAGCAAAAAACTGTGTTCACTAGGTTTTGGGTGCAGCAACCTGGGTTGAACAACCCTAGATCCCGGAGCATTCCTATCGTTTCAACATGTTTCAACCCAGTGAAGGACTTTGAGGCAGGGACCCTCTGCCAGTCAACACCTACCTACCCAACCATAGCACCGTGCTTGCTGAAGGTTTGTCACTCCTCCAGAGATGTGGTAGAAACCGCAGGCAGCTTCCAACCTTGGAGCGTAGGGAAAGGAACTAGGGACTTCCGAATCCTTGTGAAGAATTTGTTCCACCACCTGCAAATCGAGTCAGGGGCACCAGAGAAACTTCGAAGGCTCGACAAACGAACAAAGAGCCGAAAGGATCACAGCTGGTGGACTGTCGGAAAAGAAGTTATTCTCGAATGCCCATGTCTTGCTGCCACTTACTATGTATACAAATCTTTTCACAGCATGCAAGCCCAAGGACCTGTCATCAGTGAGTTCGGTTCAAAACACCGGTCACTTCACGTAAGAAACAACAAACATGAATAATCACAACTTCCTTACTTGCAAGTGTTTGCACCTTTCAACATGTTCCAAGTACTATCTATCAAACTACACCCGGCCCTGCCAACATGGAAGCGGAACAAAGTCTCGTATTGAACACATTCTGCTGCGGCTTCCCGGCTCGCGCCCCAAAGAAGTCCTCCAAAACGGGTCCACCAGTGTGTTTTGTGTACTGAACTGTGGTGACATGGGCAAGGACAACCCTAAATCATCATACCAGTTCCTGTAGCAAGGCCTTTCCCATCAATAGAGTCGAGCTCAAGCACGGGAGACAAACAGCTCCTGTCCAACAGTAGCCTTTAGAGAACTCTGTTTTTCCAAGGGTCCATTGTCAGGGTTCCACATCGCCCTGGCAGTCGTCAGCACAGCTACCCCATGTGAAGTATGGCCTTGCAAAAAATTAACACATGCCAAGTGGATTCGTTGCAAGGGTCATTTCACCTCAATGTGCTCACTCTGCAACCCGTTTCCAGTTCATAAATTACTGACTGAACAAATACAGTACCCAAATGCCAGTCAGTTGTATCGGTTGTTATTCTTTCAGATTGGGACAACCCAGGCTTGACATGGATTGAGCATGGTTCAGCTTTCTTCCAAAACAGCGGTTCTTTCAAGCAATCCAAATGTTTCTACAAACCGCCGATCATCACCACAGCACCTTCCCATCCCGTTCAGGCGGTCTTCCCAGAACCAGGAGGGCCCAGGAGGAGCAGAAGGAAGCGCCTCCGGCGCCTTGGTGGCCCAGAGTCAGCTATATGTGCATATTTCTAGTTTAGTATATATATATAATTTATAAATGATCATCATTTTTATACCATAACATATATAAGTTATATGAATATATAAGTTATATATATATGTATATTCATAGTTTATTCTATATGTGTTTATATACTTACACATTCATATAATTCTATTTCTGGTTGAATGGCGAAATTTTGTGCAACCTACTTCCAGGTCCTGGAAAAGGTTTGCCAAGAAGTTAAAGACCACACGACAGGTCTACATTCTATATCATTCTACTGGTGATTCCAGGATGAAGTAGGGACCAAGACTGTGTAGTTGTAGGATCTCCTGAGATAATTGTGTGGCATCCACTTGTACGCGTCTTGTAGTCTTATGATGGCATCACACTGGTGACGCGCCAGAGTTTCTTGTTCCAGTTGGATCTTCAACCAACAGCGCCAAGAAATATGCAGGCCTTGCAGGCCTTGCATCTACGTAACACGTCTACGTCTTATGTTCGAGACATCGGCCGTGCAAATGGCATCAATGTCTGAGTCTGCACACGTGTAGGTGTCCAGCACTTGGTCTAGAAGCCTCAGAGCAGTGCAGTCGAATGGGCACACCACTTGGCCAAAGGCTTCGACCCCAACGATCCTCAAAGCCGCGCTTTAAGCGCATGCAATGTGTCAAACACGTCTGCAAAAATGGGAAGCCTCTCACCTTGAACTCACGAACACCTGAACAGCACGGAATAGCATCCCTGTACCTGATTGACTATACCTTTCATTGTTGCGTTCAATGATTCAACCCCGCATGCCGAGAAGCTTAGGATGGACTTTGTCTTGCAAGGAAGAGGACTCGGCCAGGGCACCTCAAAATCTGTGAAGCGAGAGATCTCCGGGCAGTACACTCGTGGCAAGGTCAGTGCAAATCGAGGTCCGCAATCAATGAGACGCAAAGGGAACGGAGGGTGAGGCAATGAGCCTAAAGAGAAGGTTGAGTGACCTTGCTGCACTTCAATGGCATGACCAAAGTCTGAAAGTAATTTGCTCAACTTGACTTGATGCAGGTGCCCGCGACCTGATAATGACTTCTGATGATGGGCAACTCGCAGTTGAAAAAAACTGGTTGTATAATTGATCATTGAAAGTTAGACGATAGAACCAAACTTGAAGGAACCCCGCAAGCCAGGGAATCGACAACACGACACTTCTGGGATCTTCTGGGGGTGCGGACGGATGCTGGTAGAGGACAAGGGCTGCGGGTCAGCATAGTCCTGGGAATTGGTCAGCATAGTCCTGGGGTTCCCTCGAGTTCCGCCATTCATAGAACCACCGCATGCCAAAGCGATGAAGGTCACTTCCACCCCAAACAGGCGAGGCTCCAAATGGCTCAAGGGCCCAAACTTGCGAGTAAGAATCAATGAGACACAGGGGAGAACGAGAACCAATGCTTTGCGTAGAGCCAATGACAATGGGATGCCACAAAATGGATGCCGATGCATGACAATGAATGTCGTGGAAATTATGACCAACCAATGGAGACTCATCACTATAGAATAGAATATATAACTGCAAAGAAGAGACAACAAACATCCCGGGCTCAGGTACCTCCTCACGACCCACTCAGAATTGCACTCCCACTACTCTTTTGAGCAAGGGCGTGCAAACAAGCACGTTCGCGCCCTTCCATCACACTTCACTGTAGCACAAACATGGGTCTCCGTCATCATCATCCTCATCCTCATCCTCATCCTCATCATCACTGCATCTACCATCCTCTGTGAACTCATAGGCTGACAAACGCTTGGGGACTTAGCACCAAGCAGGAGCAACACATCTCGCCTCGCAGGAGACACACCATCTGCATATCATCAGAGCTTGAGATCCTGGTGTTTCCAGCTTGGAACAACCGAATTCTGGATGTCTTTCACAACAAGTTCGCCCAAACGTGGTGTGCAGCCGGCCGAAGCTTGCAGTCCTTGACCACTGTCACACGTCGCTTCATTTGGTGAGGCACCTGGGGAGACGGAAGGTCTCCCCTGCAGCGAAAGGTCTGCCAGCTGTTTTGGCAGAAGGCAATTGCCAGCGCCCCAAACTTCTAACCGTGGATGAAGGAGCTGAAGAATCTGGAAAGCGTCAAGTTGCATAGTTTCCCCTCAGAGTTTCAGCATGTACTCGGCGGTAATGACAGAGTGAATTGACAAGGGGTCTTGCAATGCTTTCCTCCCGCAAAGCAAGCACTTTTCATGAATAGATCCAACGTGCTGGGGATGCATGCGAAGGAAACTGCACAAAACATCCCCAAATCAGCCCGAACCTGCACGTCAGGGGCAGCCCCTGCTCGAGGGAAAACCAGGAAGTGCGTACCTGGTTTCGCTGGCAGAGACTTGCAACTTACTGAACGTGGTCACTAGATTCTAATGGTCTTTGGCTAAGTCCATAGCAGTGCTCCTCCCACTTCCCTGCATGAGTGGATTGACATTCTCCGAGAACAGCACCACCGCCACCAACGACAACAACAAAGTAAAGAAGAAGCATGATTCATCTATTGGGGGAGGCCATCGCTGTTAGATGCTATTAGGTTGGAGGCCATGGCTATTATCTTTTGGTTGGAGGCCATCGCTTTAGGTAGGGAGTGCAAAAACGACCTTTAAAACCTTTTCAGCTCTTTTCAGCTCGTGTCCTCCGAACAAATCCGAACCCATCGACGAACCGAACTGGTCCAAACAGCGACCACCAAACCAGGAGCACTCGTCGAGAAAATCCCTTTTCGACCTTTGCCCTTGCCCTTTGCAGCTGACCTTGGATCTTCTTGGATGTTCACCAGACCACAGCAACAACGAGAGCATGGCGAGCAAAAATAACTCTTCCAACCAGGCCCTTCAACACGTCGCTGGGCTTCCCGAACTGGCCGTGATGAATCGCCTGCCATGGGCAAAATATGGCCCGGTGGGGGGTTCCAAGAAGTTTCCAATTGCTTGAGGCGGCTGGCCTCCAATTTAGCAAAAGAACAAGTAGACACCTCCAACCTACTAGCGATGGTAGCGGTGGCCTCCAACCTAACAGGAATGGCCCTCTAACATAACAGCATAGGTAAACACATATACAGATTTACACCAGTGGACAATAACCATTAACAAATTGCTTGAGGGGTCCACACACCTCGTTGAAAACAAACCACAGGAGGCATCTTCAGCTTGAATTAGACATTGAACACGTACACCCATTATTGCACCCGCCTTCGTGAATTAACAAGAACCAGCCTAAGGGTTCAAGTAGTCATAGGTATAATATGGATTAATATGTATGGTATATATAATGATGGGTTTAGGGGCCTATCTACCATCTCAGGATGTACTTACGTATATATAGAGAAAATTCAGAAGTTTTTGGCTGGTATCCATTTTTCTAGTGGCATTCCAACCGCTCACTGGGGGAACAAATGAGGTGCAAGTCTCACATTGCCTCACACCCCTGCTTCCTGCAAGCTCATTCTCAAAATTCCAACACAGCGTTTTCTATGCGTTCTATGTCTTCGACTGTCTTCTATGTATAGAGCCCTTAGTTGAGTTTTCGCACCAAAGTCTGGAGGCGATTGTCCTTCCGGTGCCACCATTAGCTTGAGGGGCTTTTTCTGCTACCGCCTCCGTACAGGAACGGCTTGGGTGCTTCTCTGACCTTCTCAAAGGAATCTTGCCCCACCAGCTGGTAGACCTGTAGCTGCTGGGGCTGGTGTGGGCGCACAAGCATATAGCAATTCATCAAATAAACTGCACGTGCGGGAGGCCACCAAACGAAGCATCTTGCTGAAATGCTCCGTTATTACTTAACCTCTATATTATGTAATTATATCATTCATCCTGTTTGTCAGTTTGTCAATCCTACTCTTTAACATTTCTTTGCTCTGCCTCGCTGGGATGCAAACAAATGTTGAGCTTGTGCTGCAAGGTTTTATATAATAGCTACTAGCAACTACCCAGCTATGTGTCTACCAAGCAGGCAGTCGACAGTGGCCATCCAACGATCAAATGATACAACACTCACAAGACCTCAAGGAATATAGGTCTTGCACGGTGTCATCTCCATATTTTGGGCTTTCTAATTGAACTCCGCAGTTTGACGTGAGGCTCCAAACTGCAGGCCCCACCCACCAATCGACGTATGGAGCTGAGTCTGCGGCCACAGGGCCTCTCCCGAGCTCCTGTTCCACCTCCTTCCTGAGGCCGAGGCGAGGTGGTCACAAGCCAACAAGATCTCACACAACCAATGTCGGCCGACCCAGTGCAACATACCCTTTCCGGTTGAATCTGGGTATGCAGATAGATAGATAGATAGATAGATGGAAAAGAAATAAACATATCTCCATATATATATATATCTGCCTGTCCATACCTTAACCTTCACCTGAGATTATGCACAGCAATATGTTCATTGACATTCATTGTGCCGCCCGTCACAAACCCATGTTGGCTGTTCAACGCCTCAGCAAGTCTCCCATGGCAGGTCCCGCGCCTCACTCGATCGCCAATCAACTCCCGATCGTGCCTGGCGAACCGAGAGCTGAGAGGTTGACTGAAAGCTGAACCGGTGAGTTGCACCTCTGTCTCAATGGGATGTCCAAGGCCTCTACCTCAAAGCTAGAAGCACTTGACCCAAAAAAACCGCTTGGGCGAGAGCGAATACAAAAGTTCGTTGCAAGGTGCTTGTTGGTCTCATCTCGCCACGCAAAAAAATAAAATGACTCGACACTTGAGAGCTTCTGCTATAGAAGATTGGACTGGTATCACCAAACAGGCGCATGCCTGAGACCACCTGACCCTACCAATGTACCAATGGGGAAAATCGTTCCATCATGCATGACTGCATGACCATTCTAGATCTTTGCGGGTGTGGCCGGCCGGATGCGATGTGGCTGGTGTCCAGTGACACCTTCAAGGACGATTCCCTCACACTCGACCCTGCGCACCATCGCATATGTTGTGCTTCTTCACGAGACAGCTGGAACAACCTGAACGCACAGGAAAACCGCACCCTTGCAAAAAACCATCACTGCCGCCGTCATCGTGAAGAATCTCTGGGCTCAGAGAAAGTCTACTAAACCCTGGGGGTGATCAACTCGTCCTACTGAGAAAACGGCCAGCCCCCCGACGGCTTGCCGGCCACTTCGCTTTTACTTGGTCGCCTCAACCGGGGGTCATCTTCCAAGTCCAAGCGTCGCTTCACCAGCTCCAAACCTTGACGGTCGGCCACGGTGTTTTCCTATGATTTTTTCCGGAGCATGTGGAAGTGGATCGGTGGCAGTTCGGTGGCATCGGTGAACCGTGGAGAGGCCCATCATCGATCTCAATCCAAGTCCAGAGCTACTAGTAGCAAGGCGCCTTACTACTAGTACCCCCGCACCCCCGATTTCAATGTTGTCTCGGTAACAAGATGCTTTGTTGTCAGGGGTTTGATTTGATCCGTCCACTCAAGCCAACCTCCTTCACCAACAGGCCAACATTGAACTATGGGGGGTAGGGGGGTGAATTCTGCAAGGGTTTGAATTATTCGTCCACCTACGGTACTGGGTTTTGACGTGTTGGGAGATACAAATGACACGTTCGTGTCATTTGTTCCACCCAACACGTCTAAACCCAGTACTGTCTCAACTGTTTGGTTTTGTACACATCCCCATGCCAGAAATATTGGTTTAACACATATCGCCTTCACCTTGTTCTCAAA